CTACAGACATGACCTTATCAGGGGTCCAAACAACCTTATTTGAATTGGTCAGTAGAACATGCGCTTAGTAAGTAGTAAGGTGTATAGTAACCAGACTGTGATGGGCAGCTGGAGTCCAGATTATCCAGGGAAGGTGGATGTTAGCAACTAATTCTAAATCCACACAGTTCTTTTGAGTTATCCTCATGGTTTTTAAACTGTTCCACTGTGTCCTGTGAGAGCCAAAGTTACATTTTGAGTTTTAATTACTATGCCTTAGAGATCCATGTAACAAAAGTGTCTGTGATCTACAAGTCCCTTGCCCAAGGACAGATAGTTCCTGAAATATGGAGACTATTTTTTATGGGAGATAACAAGGCACATGTTTTCACTCCCCTAAAAAAGTTTGCTTGACCTATCTGCACCAGATGTGCTTGATGACATGCTAGAAATATGTCAGAATGTATGCTTGCTCCTGATTGGATGTTGCTGGGGATATGCCAGGATATATGCTTGCTTCTGATTGGACCTGATGGGAAATGCAATGAATTTCTGATGGGAAATGTAATGAGTTATGAGTTTTCCTTCTTAAGCCGCTGCAAACTGTGACTTGGGGCCATTTCCTGGGAACCTGGGTCTGGACCAGGCTAGAACCCATCCACCTGATCAGTATTTAATTAAAGCTTAGTTCAAATTTGGCTTTAAACTGTGGTAGTGGTCTTATTCTCAATCAGTGGGATTAACAGTCCCCTGCTATGGAGTCACAACCCCCCACACACACACACACACAGAGTGTCCATCAAACACAACTTACTTGTTTAATCAAAATTTCCTGAGACCAAGGCTGGTGTAATTATCCACCCAACTAATAGAGGAAGAGGAAATGTTGAAAAGCTGTGGTTCTGAAGCTCTCTTGTGCGGTGTTCCTGAGCCGTCTGGTTACTTTCTGTATCTTGCTTTAGTAGGCAACAGCACAGTCAGATAAGCAAAGGGGCAAGGACCAAGAGCAGTTTACAGCTGTGTGTTTCAAGATAAGGTTATTGACTTCCATGTGGTCTACAGTAAACTGCTGTGCACCAATGTGCAGATGCTTCATTGGCCTGGACCTTTAGCTAGACTGTGTTCTCCAGGCTCTCTAGTAGTAAGGTATGGTCATGAACCCGAGTTTGGATCAGTTGGAGACATCTTTTCCTAAGGACTTCCTCTTTACTCCCCAGCTGACACATTTTCCTGTATGCACACCTGACTGAGCAGAGGCAAAGGACCACCTGGAGACACTGGACCCAGGGTCATTACTGAACTTTGCTGCTAATTTAATATGTCATTTTGGCTTCTTTGGTTGACATTTCTAAGCCAGATTTACTCTCCTGTTAATCCGAATAGTAATAGGACTTTCCTTATGAGGTTATGATGAGATCCAGAGGGATTCAGTGCCAGCTGATTAAGAATGTTCAGTAACTGTGAGAATTGTTTTCACCTTAGGACCAGTCTCCCCATCAGTTCAATCTGTGCTGAGCATCAGGTAAAAGCCTTCCTAACTGCAATTGCAGCCCTCTCCCCGCCTCATCAGACATTGAGAAGAGTACCTCAGGTGACATCCCTGCAGATGCTAAACTTCGGTTCTGAGCTTGAAGCTGAGGCAGTGTAGACATTTCCACTTTCTGGCTCATTTAAAAGTCCTAGACACAAGCGACCCTGCATAAGCCCCAGGTTTCAAACAGCCAACTCATGCAATGAGCACAGGACCCGGTCCCACTGCCTGGATGCCTCCCAAACAGATCAAGCCAATCGACTATCTCACCCATTCAGAGGGCCTGATCCAGTTGAGGGCCTCTCAGCCATTGGTTCATAGTTCATATGTTTCCATTTGTTTGGCTATTTGTCCCTGTGCTTTATTCAACCTTGGTCTCAACAATTCTCGCTCATATAAACCCTCCTCTTTCTCGCTAATTGGACTCCCAGAGCTCCACCCGGGGCCTGGCCATGGTCTCTGCATCCAGATCCCTCAGTAGTTGGATGGGGTTTCTAGCACGACAATTAGGGTGTTTGGCCATCCCATCACCAGAGTAGGTCAGTTCGGGCTGTATCTCGACCATTGCCAACAGTCTGTTGTGGGGATATCTTTGTGGATTTCTGTGGGCCTCTCTAGCACTTTGCTTCTTCCTATTCTCATGTGGTCTTCATTTACCATGGTCTCCTATTCCATGTTCTCCCTCTCTGTTGTTGATCCAGCTGGGATCTCCCGCTCCCCCAAGCTCTCTTTCCCTCGACCCTTGCCCTTCACTACCCCCACTCATGTACAGGCTGTTCATGTAGATCTCTTCCATTTCTCCGTCACTGGGCAATCCCCGTGTCTTTCTTGGGGTCCTGTTTTCCAGGTAGCCTCCCTGGTGATGTGAGTAGCAGTCCAGTCATCCTTGTTCCACATCTAGTGTCCTCCTATGAGTGAGTACATACCATGTTTGTCTTTCTTAGTCTGGGTTACCTCACTTAGGATGATTTTTTCTAGATCCATCCATTTGCCTGCAAACCTCATGATGTCATTGTTTTTCTCTGCTGAGTAGTATTCCATTGTGTATATGTACCACATTTTGTTTATCCATTCTTCAGTTGAAGGGCATCTAGATGGTTTCCATGTTCTGGCTATTACAAACAATGCTCACAGCCACCTTTTTAACATGTCTCCATCTGGACAGGCCAGATCTACCTCAGATAAATGTCAACTCCAAAAAATAAAATAATTATGATTCTTTTCTCTCTAAGCTTTTTCTATGTCACCAGTATCTTGTCAGACAAAAGGTTCCCAGCCACACCACGAAGGATGGACAGCTGCAGAACAAGGGATATCAGAACTTCATCCCAGGACTCCCACCATCAACCCAGGACTTCAGAAGCTACCCTTCCCATTTCCCCAAGAGCCAACCGACGCCCACCATTCAGCTGGAAGCAGTCTTTGAGAGAAACGACACCCCATATCCACTCATCTGCCATTTTTTTTCTTTTTTAAAAAAAACAAGAGTCCAGGATGATACGAATTCACAACACACCCCCATGGTTGGGCATAGTTGCCCATGCCCGGCGGACCTAGTCATTTCCATTTAGCCATTTCTGGGTCAAAATGTCTCGCATGACCAGGACCCTGTGGCTTTGTGTGGTTGCGTAAAGCGCACAGCGCAACCATGTGATCTACATGCATGCGTGGAATAGCCACATGGGCCTGTGTGCGCAGGCACAGCCCAGCCTTCATAAGCCTGCGCCATGATTCCCAGCTCCATCTTTACTCATGTATCTTTACACAGGCCTGTGCACCTCTGTCTCTTTACCTTATCTTAATAAAACTCTTGTTAGTGGATTCTGTTGTTTTGTGACATTTCCTCGCAGGGTAAGAGCGCTGCAAATAACCAACACATGATTGAAACTACAGCAAGTTGAGGTGTGCCCTCCATAGCTGTGCAAGGAACAAGCATGGGTGACTCAATACACACACATACACACACACACACACACACACACACACACACACACACACACACACCCCTCTGCTGCGCCACAGCCAAATCTGGACAATTTTAAGTTACATTTTCAGGGCCCTACCCATTCTCAAAACACAAGATAAGTCACATAGCTTCTCTTAGGATAGTAATATCACATTGACCCATACACGCAGCTCTAAGTTTGTGAGGGGTCTCAGACATTAAACCATTGGCTGAAGTCTGTGTGGTCAGGTGACATGAAGAAAGGGAGCCACTACAAGACTATGTCTTGATGTAAACAGCCTGGCCTTGTTTAGCAGTTAACAACACTGGGGATTAATCTTTGTGTATTTTCTGTAGGGGTAGATTAATCTGTTTTGGACGTAGATTAATCTGTTTTGGACTTGTTCTAAGGTCTTCACAAAATGAGTTAAAGGCTGTCATGGATACAGAACACTGTTACTTTCCTGTGTCAGTAAAGAAGAATACTGTGGTAATATTTCTGTTCATCAGAAGTATACAGCTTAAACAGATCCACAGCTAAATGTGTGCCCATAGATGTAAAATACACTACCAAAAGGCTGTAGAAAGCACCCTACAGCTGTTATTATTAGAGGGGACTCCCCATCAGGGAGTTAAACGTCTGGTGGGTCGACTTGTCAAACACTAGTTGTCACCTGTCATATACTGCCATGGACCTGAGCAAATGTGTCATGACATATTGTGAAGGTCACAGTATAACTCTCTGGATTTAATTCTCTCCTCCACCAAGGATTCTGGTGACTGATCCCAGGAGGCAGGCTTTATAAAAAGCATTTAAACTCTGTGACACAAACTTAGCCACCTCACAGACACATACCTCCGGGTTCTTCATAATTAAACTTCATTGGGAAAGTAGCCAAGGAGCCTCCAACTCCTGTTGGTGACAGCTGATTGAGGTTTAGGGATAAAACTCTCTGGTCAAGGAAACTTTCATGAGAGTTTATCATTATATCAAGGAGATGGAGTTAGATATTTAAGTCCTTTTCAATGATTTTTATATTTGGAGGAGTGAAGAAAGAGCTATATTTGGGGACACAGCAATGAATGGCCAGGCTAAGCAACCATTCAATAGGGCTGTGAAAGTAGGTTACCAAGGAACCAAGACAATAGACCAAGGGACTTGACCTCGGCCTGGACCAATCTGAGCCCCACCTTCTGCACTTTCCTACACTGGTCTCACCTTTAGGATAGGATAGCATCAAGGCTGTGAATACAGCATACTCTAGAGATTCTATGCTTGACTCTTGCTTATGTGGCTGTGACTGCTAGCAAGAGCCCTTTAAAAAGAGACACCTCAGGAGCAGGTAACAGAAAGCAAGACTCCATGACTGTAGGCTCTGGGAAATTGGCCTAGCTAATGAAGGCTTAACTCCTAAAGCCTCAGGGAGACTGAGAAGCTCTACAGAGGGAAGGGGACTTGAATAATCACACCTGCAGTAGTTCCTAAGGACAGCCACACAGCAAACCAGCTGGGATGTACCCCTTCCAGACTGCATAAGAACTCACCTGCAGATGGACTTCTCCATCCCCAAACTTCCTCTTTGCCATGCCATCAAATCCATGAGTGTGGTTCAGTTCCAAGGAGACAGTGCAGAACTGCAGTTCTTTTGACTGAGGAACAATGGTGCTTGTGGAGATGCCAGGCTGGGTCTATACGTCCACATCACCTCCATCAACCCCTGCCTAACATCATGTCCTGGTGCCAGGGATCTCTCTCTGGACAGCTGGATGGAACTGACATGTCAGTCTGTTCCAGAGCCTTCTCTCCATTGGTTCAGAGGAGAGAGCAGAAAGAAGGCCAATCCCTGTTTGCTCTCAGTTTCCCCAAGGAGAAATCTGCAGACTCTAGTTTCACTTTCCAGTTTCAGTTTCCCTGAGGAGAACCTGCAGGCATTAGTTTCACTTTCTGTTTCAGGTTCCTACTGTGACTATAAAAGCACACACACACACACCACAGCTCACAGAGCTGTCTCCCAGCCCTTCCCTGAGAGTCCAGTTGGTGTGCAAGTCCACAAGACAGCAGAGAGCAAGGCAGGATTCTGAGGAGCCTGTCCTGGTGAGAACCCAGAGAACTGCTGCCACCTTCACAGCAACCATGGGGTAAGGATTTCCCTGCTCTGCAGTTTGAGTGAACCCAGGACACAGACATTTGCTTGTGACCAGGTGTGACTGAGTCTGCTTCTGTTCCTTTGTTCTGTCTTCTGCCTTCTCTTTCTACTACTGGAAAGGGAAGAAGGATGCTGATTGTCCTGAGTGTCCAGGGACTTTGTGTAATGGGAGTGCTGTTGGCATGGGGCTGAATGGGGGACAGCAAGCTGGCTTTAGTTTTGAAGGCTGTCTCACACATCTAGTTGGAAACACCTGGGAAGATGTTAGCATGCTGATCTCACAGAGACAGTTACCAAGGAGAACTTCCGGAATGGACAAGGTAACCACTTTACACACCACTCAAACTCTAAAAGAGAAGAGACTGCTCCGAGTGTCCTCCTTCCCATCCCCTGACCCCACTCCCTCATTGTCCTTGGGATGTACCCAGCAGACCTCCAAAGGACCTCTTGAGATGAAGTTCAAAGTTTCTGGGCCAGGTGGTTTGTTACCCATCCCCAGCTGATTTAACCAATGGACATCACACTTTTATTTCAACCACCCATGATTAAGAAACAAAAATACAGACATACATGTCCTTCTGACAAGTGGTATTTAAGTTTCCCGCCCTCCCGCAATAAACTCAATATACATGGTCACATATTTATTTGCAACTATGTTACTTATAACATATATATGCAATGCATATGCAATATATATATATATATATATATATTCAAGAAATACTAGACGTCCAGTGAAGTCTTATTTATGTAAATGGCCCCGGTTTTTTATATTTGAAATTGCTGTTCATATTGAAAGTGCCAGTCAGTGGAGGTGTTTGCGCTGACTCTTTTCTACAGTGAGCATCTCTTGACTTGGGGGATTATTCTTCTGTCTTCTACATAGGACCATCTATCGTACGTGAATATGGAGGAGGCTGAGAGCTGTTGGGGAATGATGAAATAGAATACAGAGTTCACACTGGTAGAAAAATATGGAGCCAGAGTAAGTAAAGGGAGAAGGCTGTAGGACCTGTCAGGTGACAGTCATGGTCATAGGGTAAGTGACCAAGCTCTGCCTGGGTCTATAGTTCCTATCATTCTAGCAGGTGCCTAGGGCTATGGTTTGCAAATGACTGCCTACAGTGTGAGAAAGGCTGAAGACTTCTGACTGCACTGGGCATCCTGAGCATCAACAGGGCTTTGGGATCCTGGCTGCTCTCTCTCCAGGTTGCCAACACAAATGACTGTTGCCTCTGTGCTGCTCAGCTTTCCTGCTTCAAGGACTTATGCACAAGTTCATGTGCCTCACCCTCAGGGCACAGGTCCCCAGCAGGATCCTTGTGAGCCTCCCAACTAGGCAGATCTTCCTGGACAGCTGGTGTTCAGATTTTAGGTGATTTTAGCTGCCCTGCCTTTATTTCCCATAAGGTGTGGGCACAATCTCTAATTCAATCTGCACTGCTGTAGTCAGGGAAAGCAAAGCAGGATTGAATCTGATACCCCAGGTCATGATTTATCTGCCTACAGAAATCTGTCCATCATTTGTAAGTGCTCTGTAAAAGAAGAAATAACCATGCATTTGGTTATTTTGGAGATAGACAGAGAGAAACAGGCAGAGACAGAGACTGAGAGGACAGAAACTTCTTCTGCCTTTGTCTCTTTCTAGCCTGGCTCATCAAATATTACAGGTAAAGATATGAGTTCAGGCACAATTACTAAACATTCCCTGGGGCACTTTTGAAATATCCAAATATTTGAATCCAACATCAATGAACTGGACCGGGGCACATGATTAGCAACAGAGAAAGAGACATTTCATTACAAAACAGCACTCTGGAAAATTAGAATTGAGAGCAGAGGGATAAGCCCAAAGAGCACTGGGTCATGAGACTCATGACCATTTACATGGCATGAACAAAGAGCCCTGTCTCTTCTCCAGGTTGGTACATCGAGGGCATTTTGAGCATCCTCTGTCCATTACTTGAAGCCTATGGAAGGAAGGGCTGCAGGAGTTTCTCTGCAAACTGGCTTCCTTCCTGGTCATGCTGCTGCTCTGTCTGTGGTCCCCAATCTCAAGTCACTCTCCACAAGATCTGAAATACCATAAGAAAGGAGGGATTCAGCGTCACAATTGCTTCCCTAGGGTGCTTAAAATGGTGCTGGACAAGTAGCTGAGTGGGTCCAGGGCTTGCCAAGCAAGCATGAGGATTGCAATCTCAGTGTTGCTGCTGAGAGAAGGGAGGGAACCACTTGGCTTTCCTCTCTCAAAACACAAGCAAGTGGAGACCAGTGCCTGACTCTGTCCTCTGACCTTCATAAGCCTGCCTCCATATGACATTAGCACCCCTCCCCCGCACCCCACAATTTAAATACCATGTGAAAAGGAGGAGTGTGCAGACAAGAAGCTTAGAAAAAGTCCCTAGAAGAAATTATTTCCTGATCATGATGACTGCTTTGAAAATTTGGTTTTGCTCCTCCTTAATTTTCGTTAAAGTGTCCTTCCACATGATTTTTAATTTTTGAGATTAGAATCTAATTTACATTTCTCCCTACTCTTCCCTTTCCTTTCCTCTTTCAAACCCCTTTCTGCTCTGCTTCAAATCCATTGTTATTGAATGCGCATATATACACATATATGTGTGTGTGTGTCTGTGTTGGTACGTACACATATATTTCTAAATATAACCTGTCCAGTCCTTATAATGTTTCTCGTATGCATGCTATCAGGGTTGTACACCTGGCACTGGACAACCAATGGCTGTGTTCTTTCCCTGGGGAACACCACCTCCCTACCTCCCTACTAACCAATGAATTGGTTGTTCATTGTTCTTGTATAGTTGAGGTTTCGTGGTCTTTTCCCTATCTGGTTTGGCATGTTTCCTCCTCTGGATATCATCCTTGGTCAGCTCACATTTGGTCACTCATATTGGTGAAGTTGTCAAAAGAGTTGGAGATGAATTCTGTCTCTGGTCTTCCATAGAGAAATGGCATTTAAAACTAATCAAAGGATTGTAAGATTCCCCCAATGGAAGGAACAACTATCCCTCTATCCCCTTAACAAGATATGTACTTCTTTAACCCAAAGCCCCTGTTTCAAAGTAGTCATCTCCATTTTCTCACATCTAAGGCTCCCTACTTTTGCTGAGAAATTGTCACTTTTTCTTTTTTTTTTTTCTACCTCTCTTTTTCAGAAGAAGCCCATGAGAATGCCTTGACGCACGGCTAATATTTTTTTCTGAAAATACTCTAACGTCCAAAGAGACAGAACTTTTGCCAGGCTTGAAACCGAGGCAATAATCTGCCCTGAGAGCATTTAAGGCTATGTATCCATCAGACAAATGACAGGGACAGACTGCTCAAGCACACACCACAGAGAGAACACAGACCAAAACCTCTGGGAAGACTGTAACACAGGGAGATAAGTGGGGAATTCAAAGCAGGGCTTGGTCTTGTCTGAAGGACTCCAGGGAGTAGGCTCTGTTTTCATCCCTTGATGTGACATCAGTGCACTGACACTCTGGGCAGTCTCTCTGTCTCTCTGTCTCTGTCTCTCTCTCTCTCTCTGTGTCTCCCCCCCCCACCCCGCCCACACACACTCTGATTCTCAGAATCCTTCCGCAGCTGATTACAGGATTATCTCTAACTTAGAAAGCATAGCTTTCTGTCTGTTTTGTGCCAAACCGCGGTCTCCTAAACAGATCCTAAGATTTAAACCTTGTGTGCTACATTTTCTTGTGGTTACTTTTTCCAACTTAAAATGTAACTGCACTATCCTAGTGATTTCCTCCTACTCTATTCTTACATCCAGTCATATAAAAGACTTAAAATCTGCCCCAAACCACCTGCTTTCCTCAGATGCCCAACTCAGAGATGCTAAATCACTAAGTCAAGATCATTTGGCTATACTCATGTCCAAACTGTTTCCCTTTCCTAATTAGCCTCAAGAATAGTACTTATACACCCATAAAGGTAGAGGAATGTGATTAAAGTTAGCTGCAGACACAAGGGCAGGCTCTTCTGCTACAGAAGAGGAAGAAAACCAGAGTTCTCAGAGTCCTTGGCACGGACAGGAAAGACTGCATGAAGGTGGAGTGGGAAAGTGGCCCTCTGCAAGTCAGGAAGAAACCACTGCTCAGTGAGATGTTATACAGGCAGGCTATAAGATCTGACATTTGTAAATTGCTAAGTTACAGATAAACAGAGATGTGTTGTGCCAGGGTCTGGGTCCATAGGATGTTCCTATGGCAGCCTAGGCAGAAGGGCTCAGCCATGTGTTCAGTGTTTTGTCTGTGGGGTCTTTTAGTGCCTCTCTCTTCCATGGTTTGGATGTCCTTTCTCTCTTTCAGGGCTATTCATTCTAGCACCACAGTGTATTGATTATTTTAGGTTATAGTTTTTGTGCCCAGATCTCGACCCCCAGAGAGACCACCAAAGACGAGTTTACCAGAATGCAAAAGAAAGGCTTTATTGGGAAGCAATACAGGCCTAGTCAGGGACCCCATCAAGCCTTCCAACACAGTGGAGGCTGGAGAGCTGCCCACCCCTCTGCAAGCTCAGTTTTTAAAGGACAAGATTCAAAGCTGCTTGCTCTGGAGTACCTACCCAAAACCTGTGTGATTACACGTAACATCTTGTTCTCCAAAGTAACAGAAAAGTAGGAAATTCTTATGGAATTTATGCTATATCCATGGATTTTATATTGATAGCCTCACTAATCTCCCGAAAGATGAGGAGTGGGAAATACTAATTTCATTCCCATTTCAGAGATGGGTACAGTGTGATAGTGAGGCATGAAGTGATAGACACTTGCAAGTGCTACTACTTTCTGCAGAGATGAGAAAATGCATTGAGGTTGTATAGGAATCTTTAAAATGCACGGATTCCTTGTAACTGTTGGAGAGGAGTTTAAATGGAGGCTTTTCTACCGCCTCCCTTTTCTCAAATTGTTATGCCCAGGTCTCGAGGACACCCAAAAGACCATCATGGAGACTGAATCAGAATTGTAAAAGCAAAGAGCCTTTATTATCTTCAAGCTGTGAGCTTGATCTCTCTGTCTGTCTGATGCATCAGTGAGTGCAGAGAGCCCAGGTCCCAGGCAGGGTGGGGATTTTATCATGGCAGAGGTTGGTGTGAGGCAATTTCAAGGTTCAGGACCCTGATGGGCTGACATTTGTCTGGGTTATAGGGGATGTTTGGAATGTCAGGTATTTCCTCTTAGATGCAGGCCCCACTGGGTGGCTTCAGCTCATGGCTCTTCCTTTGGTCTAGGTGTTTTCTGCCAGAAGCTGTGTCTGGGCCTCGAAGCCTGTCATGGCAGCTGTGTGGTCAAGCTGTTTTGTGGCACCCCACAAAGTACCCAGCAGCTGCTTCCCAAATTAGTACACAGAGGCTTATATTAATTATAAATGCTTGGCTGAGAGACCAGGCTTATTATAAATTAGTGCTTATATTTAAATTAACCCATTTCTTTTTAATCAATACATTGCCATGAGGCCCATGGCTTACCATTCCTTTAGCATTTTGCTTCTTGGGCAGCTGGCTCACAGATCTCCTGACCCTGCCCTCTTCTTTTCCTTATTTTGGTTTTTCTGCCTAACTTTGCCTGCCTTGCCATACGACAAAACTGCTTTATTATAAGCCAATGAGAGCAACACACATTCACAGTGTACAGAAGGATCATCTCATAGCAGAAGAGAGCTATGTTGAGTCTCTCTCTAGAAGTCCCCACCTGAATCACCCTAAGATATAAGGCCCAGAGAAGAGTCATGTCCCCAGTGTCCCAAGGTTGAGAGCATGTTCTTTGTTCTGAATCAGTCTATTGGAGAACATCATACCAGTTCCTTATCTGTGTCAGATGAGAGGGGCAGACCCTGCAATGACTTTTCCTCAGCAGTTAGTGTTGTGCCCATGGACAAGTCCTATTTGTAGCTAGAGTTTTTCTGCCTGGCCCACAGTCAGGACAAATCTCTCTCACCTGCCAGTCCCACAGCCATTCAGACCCGACCAAATAAACACAGAGACTTATACTGGTTACAAACTGTATGGCCGTGGCAGGCTTCTTGCTAACTGTTCTTACAGCTTAAATTAATCCATTTCTATTAATCTATACCTTGCCACGTGACTTGTGGCTTACCGGTACTTTACATCTTCCTTGTCCTGATGGCGGCTGGCAGTGTCTCCCTCACTCAGCTTCCTGTTCTCTCAATTCTCCTCTCTGTTAGTCCCGCCTATACTTCCTGCCTGGCCACTGCCAATCAGCGATTTATTCATTGACCAATCAGCAACACATTTGACATACAGACCATCCCACAGCACCTATTTATGTCAGCTCATGTGGCATGTACTTCTACACATAGTCCTCGAAGACATAAAAAAAGGGGGAATAGAATTTTAGAGTTCCAAACCTCAGATAAGGACACTGACATGTATGTTTATGTGCCTGTACCTGTGTGGCAATATTCAGTCTTAACTGAAAAGATTAGCTTACAACCTAAGATTGTAAGTACAAGTACAAAGAGTCTCTGGCAGTTCCAATAAATGGAGTTGAGGAGTTGATGTAAAAAACATCAAGAAATTCTAAAGGAACAAGAAGTCAGACTTAAAAGAAATAAGCAAGAATGTTGTAAAAGTGCTTTGAATGGAGTCAATGTCACTTGCTGGCCATTTCTCACTTAACAAATCACCTGCTTCCTTCACACAGAGAGAATGCTGGCAGTGATCAGGTCAAGGAGAATCTGATTGACCTGAGATGTCACTTCACATGGGAGCTGCTGTTGGAAGACATTGACATACCTGATTTGGAAATGAGGATCTCTGAGGACCTTGAGTTCCTAGACGTCAAGGATACAGTGGGAATCCTCAACCTCCAGGCCTATGTGAGACACCTGAAAGGCCAGCATGAGGAAGCCATGCACAGCTTGAAAGAAGCAGAAGCCTTCATCCAGGGAGAACAGTTGGGCAAGAGAAGCCTGGTTACGTGGGGCAACTGTGCCTGGGTGCATTACCACATGGGCAGCTTGGCAGAAGCCCAGACCTACCTGGACAAGGTGGAGAACACATGCAAGGAATTGGGCAGTCCCTACCGCTATAGTATGGAGTGTCCTGAGATGGACTGTGAACAAGGCTGGGCCTTGCTGAAGTGTGGAGGACAGAATTATAAACGAGCCATGGCCTGCTTTGCAAAGGCTCTGGAAGTGGAGCCTGAAAACCCTGAATATAACACTGGCTATGCTATTGTAGCCTATCGTCTAGAATGTGATCACAATAATACTTCTCTAGAACCCCTAAGGAAGGCTGTCAGGTTAAATCCAGAAGATCCATATATTAAAGTTTATCTCGCACTGAAACTTCAGGATGTCGGAGAAGCAGCTGAAGCAGAAACACACATTGAAGAAGCACTCAGTAGCACATCCTGCCAACACTATGTCTTTCGCTATACAGCCAAGTATTACCGAAGGAAAGGCTGCCTAGACAAGGCTCTCCATCTGCTACACAGGGCCTTGCAGGCGTCACCTGCCTCTGGCTACCTGCATTACCAACTAGGGCTCTGCTACAAGCAACAGATGATCCAACTGAAGACATCCAGAAATGACCAGGCCAGAAGGCAGGACAGTGTACAGAAATTGGCACAACAGGCCATTTGTGAATTTCAAGAGGCTGTGAAACTCAGGCCCAGGGTTGGGATGGCTTATGTTTGCATGGCTGAAGTACAGGCAGAAATTGGCCAATATGAAGAAGCAGAGGCAAATTTCCAGAAGGCGCTGAACATGAAGAATCTTGAGTGTCACATAGAGCAGGATATTCATTTCCGCTATGGTCGTTACCAACAATTTCATCAGAAATCAGTTGATAAGGCGATCACCCAGTACTTAAAAGGTTTGAAAATAGAAGAAAAGACCTTTGTCTGGAGGAAACTACTCACAGCTTTGGAGGAAGTGGCCACAAGACATGCTCGCCAGCATGTTCGACTTGTGGAGAGCACCAGCTTGCTTGGGTTAGTCCACAAACTGAACGGGGACAAGGAGGGTGCCCTGCAGTTCTATGAGAGGGCTCTGAGGCTCACTGGGGGAGTGAACCCTGAGTTTTGAATGCAGCTCACCTCTGAGAAGTGAATGTACTCATTACTGAGGGTTCCCGGCCTCCTTCCCAGTTTCTTTCTTCAACTTCATGGCTTGCTGGAATGCCAAGTAGCTCAGTGCATGTGCTGCTGCCACCATTTCTCACCCCTCATTGTCCTGTCCAGAAGAAACTTGCATCCCACTACATCTTCTCACTTACTGACCAGGACTGACCCCTGCTGATCTGCACTCCCTTGAGCCCTGGGAATCTAGGACATCTTTTCCTTATGTCTGTGTCTTGGGAATGAAAGTCTTCTATCCTCTGCCTGCCAGTGTCCTGGACAAAGAGGTCTTCTCCAGGAAGCTTTTACTTTAGGTCAGCAGATACTCTTAATAGAGTGCAATGTCAGAGAAAACCAAGTGAGCAAAGGGGAGAGTTTGTACCTGAGAGGTCTCCCCTTACTGCAGAATCATTCACGGCTAATAAGAGTCTTAAGTTTGGGGAAAGCCAAGCAGAGGAAACCTGCCGGAAACCTTGCAGACAGGACGATATAAGGAGATAGGTCCACTTTTTCGATGCTATTGATAGTGTGTTATATGTGATGTTTTCCCCTCAAATAAAATATATTCAGTAAAATTCCTTGAATCACAAAGTCTTCCCGAGTAATTTGTTGATAGAATGGAAAGGATATTCCCTTCAGTGTCCTTAAGAAGGCTTGGGATAGCAGAATCAACTAACAGAAGTCTAGAGACAGGCAGGAAAGAAAATTCTGCTTATAAACCCTGCAAGGGGTGTGTGAAAGGATGAGGCTATATTTCATTCTCCACATAGTGGTATAGTAAGGGTGACTGATGCTGCCTTGTTACCTGACAGCTGCGGTTTATCATTGTGAATTATGTTGCTAGAGATGGGTTTAGGGTTCATTCACCTGACACTTAGGAACATACAGCTGGTATTTTTAATAGATGTTTCTATTTTTGATAAGCCAAAAACATGTTTATTACATTCAGACAAAGTTAAAGTGTAGTGAAAACTCTCAGGAATCATAATACTGCTCCCTCATAGTCTCAGTCAATGCAGAGGAAGAGTAACTGATTGGAAAGGTAAGCACAGGGGAGAGAGAAAGATTGGGAGACAGCAAGAGGGCATGCAGTTTGATTCACAAGCCAGGGTCTGGGAACTTGGCAGACTCTTTTCTTCCAGGAGAGCATTTTCACACTTGCCCAAGGTAAGACATCTTTATAAGGTTTTTCAAGGGATGATATGTGGGTCAGACACTGGATGTTTCACTGTTGTCACTAAGTTTGGTCCCCTTCCCTTACCTCCATGAGAGTTGTAGTCTGGAGGGTCTAAACTAGAGAACATAAATGCTTAAAATTCTCCCCTTGATTAAAGTACCCTGTGGTTCCTAGGTCCCGGTCTCAGCAAGCCCTGCAAGCACCCATGTGCCCTGTGTCTGCTGACCCACACTCCCATGCTCAGGAGCACTTCCCCATCCTCTGCATCTCCTCTCTCCTTGCTCCTGCTGTTTAGCTGTCCTGTCAGCTCTTTGGGGTTTTCTTTGCTCTTCCTCAGCCCCTCTGAGTATAGTCTCCTGTTGTTATCCTAGTCTTCCCATTCACTCAGCTGCATGGACGAAACCACAGCAAGTGGAGGTGTGCCCTCCACAGCTGTGCAAGGAACAAGCATGGGTGACACAATACACACACACACACACACACACACACACACACACACACACACACACACACACACAGAGAGACAGAGAGAGACAGAGAGAGAGAGAGATACAGAGAGAGAGAGAGAGAGAGAGAGAGAGAGAGAGAGAGAGAGAGAGGAGAGCCCACAAAATAATTACATGTGAAAAACACTAAAAATAAAATTAAGGAAAATCACTGTGCATTATGTTTTTGAGCATCAAGCTACAACTAATAACGTCCCTATTATCAATTAAATGTAGATTGTGTGTACTTAGTTACCACTACTGCTCCAAATGTTCTATGGTGAACTGTAGGTCAAATGTAGGACAAATGTCTACAAACCTGACTTTCCGTGGACTGAAAATGAGAACTCCATAGCAAAGACGGAGAAGCAGGTAAGTGAATGTGGATCAGTGGCCAATTTTGTGCCCACACTTGTTGTGGCCTTAGCAGAAAAGCATCCTGGGATAATCCAAAGTCACTGCCATGCTTTCCTTCAACTATAATTACACCAAAGGCACAGCAATTTCTCCAGTGTGTGCTAATGTGACGGAAGTACCAGAACACTGATATCAAGCTGAGAGTGGAGTGGGCAGTGACCTCCAGCTATTGGATTTGTTCCTAAAGTGACAGGCAGACAGGTCACTAAGACCTACTCTGTGTAGGCTTAAGATAACAGATTTTTAAAGAACAGTGATGGCTTTGAACAAGTCATAGGTATTTTTTATGGAACACCTTCCCTAATGCTGCATATATGTACCATGTCAGGAGACATGTGTTAACATCTGTCTACACCCTACAGTCAATAGAGCATACATAATCACATTCTTTTCCCATGTTTTCTTGTGCATTAGGAAGACACTGGCCATCTTCTTCTCTAGAGAGTCACCAAGAACAATAGGTAAAATGTAAGAAGGATACTGCACCTGGGGCCCCTCACCATACCCCTGAAAGATGAACTGGAATCTCAGCTGATTCCCAGATCAATAGTCAAGCAATTTCAAATTGATAGAGGATGCCTAGGACCATTTTGACCCGTGTTCAAACACAGGTACACATCATAATCACCTGAGAATTCTGAATTGTTTCATTGTTTTTTTTCTCAGACAGCATATCTCTGTGAAGCAGTCCTGGCTGCAACTTACTCTATAGACCTGGCTGGACTCAAACTCACAGAGATCTGCCTGCCTCTGCCTTTTGAGTGCAGTGATCAAAGGCATGTGCCACCATCATCTACCTGATTGATTGTTTTAAACCTGATTTTAAATCTGATTCTGGGGTGTGTTCAGTTGGGCTATCCAAGAGCATGAGCAAAATTCATTTAGATGTTCTCTAATGATTCTAACATGCAGTGAAGATTTAAATCTGCTATCCTATTCCAATCACTCACTAATGAGCCAGGATTATTGCAGCTAGCAGAGGTGACATGGTCTTTCACAAAAGGTGAGTCTCATGCAGTTGCTTTGGATAACTGATAGCCTATACAGACATATCATTTTCTGAAGGTTTCTTTATATTTCTGTTGCCATTTGTCTCTTCTCTGTGCATTCGACAAACACACACACACACACACACACACACACACACACACACACACACACGTAATAAAAATACATAGTTGAAGGCTCATGCACCCACATACAGTTAGCTATTTCTTTCTTCTCTTTTTAACACTGTTTGGCAAGCATCATAAATGGTCCATTTATTACAGAGACAACGGGGGAAAAGTTGAAATATCGGCCTGAGCCTGAACCACACAGAACCAGCACCAATGTCACCTTATAGGAGTAGGGGAAGAATCCCTTTTGGTCCTCTGCTTGCCATGGACTGTATTGACTTGGAAAATGAAACACTCCAATATGTTTTCATGGAAGTATTGTGCTCAATCATGATTGGCTTTCACATACATGTGCACGGAGTGTTGTCTTTTACCCCAAACATGAGTCAATGATGTTTTAGAAGCTGACCTAGTTATTAGGAATGTTTCCCGACAAGCAGCATTCTACCCACTGTGGGATAATTCTGTGGAGCTGAAATGATAACAAGGATAATTAGTAGGAGAGTGTGAGCAGACAACACTCACTCTATGCAGTGAAGGATGGAAAAATGAAAACCTTCCTGTTCTTCTCTGTTTCACCTTTTTGAAGATACAGCACATAAACGCAAAAAATATTAGGTCCAGCCTATATTGTTTGCTCCAGGGTCTGCGGGCGAGTCTACCAACCAGCTGAGGATTGTAATCTGAGGAATAGTCAATGAATCTAAGCACACTGAGTTCTTTTGTCCATTCACTTTATTCTCCTATGGTGATTCTATCTACTCAGTTTCTTTTCTGCTCTCTTATCTCCTCTCGGTCCCTCCTGCTCTCGGTCCCTCCTGCTCTCAGTCCCTTCTGCTCTCGGTCCCTCCTGCTCTCAGTCCCTCCTGCTCTCGGTCCCTCCTGCTCTCAGTCCCTCCTGCTCTCAGTCCCTCCTGCTCTCAGTCCCTTCTGCTCTCAGTCCCTCCTGCTCTCAGTCCCTCCTGCTCTCGGTCCCTCCTGCCCTCAGTCCCTTCTGCTCTCAGTCCCTCCTGCTCTCAGTCCCTCCTGCTCTCAGTCCCTCCTGCTCTCAGTCCCTCCTGCTCTCAGTCCCTCCTGCTCTCAGTCCCTCCTGCTCTCAGTCCCTCCTGCTGTTCTCTCATCATTCTACCTAGTTCTTTCCATCTCCATCCTCATCTTTGTTCTTCTCCATCAATCCTCCTCTCCCAGTGCTCAATTAGGGAACTTGTGTGCTCAAACTATAATCTAGAAATGGCTAGATAAAATGTTAGGGGTCAATATGTCACAAGAAAGTCAACTGTCTTTGGCGCTGCTGTTCCCACTCGTCCTGGCTGCAGCTGCTTTCTGATAGGGAGGGGGACATATGTTAGGTGACTAAGGAACCTATGTCAGAGCTTGTAGTATTTGGTTAGTAAAAGCACTTGCACTCAGAGTAATTGCTGAGGAGAAAATCTAGGAATAGCACCTGGCTGAGGAGGAATACAAACCTAATTTGCACAAGAAAGAAGCTTGGCACCTATTGCCTGCCTGGCCTTGTAGGCAACTCCTTGGGTCAGTGGGAAGTAACTGCTTTAACTCAGTATCTAGCAAGTGGCTAAATCTTCATCCCAGGAATATGAGCAGTAAATCTCTTAAATTAGAGTCTTGTGTAAATAACCTAGGGTGAATGTAAGGGTTTGAGGATTTAATTGTTAGTGGTTCTTTTCTCTATCTGTGAGTGAGATGAGCTAATATTCCTTGCCTCCACACAGTTACAAACCTCCATACAGCCACAGCTGAACATCTCATTTACACAGCTCCCTAACCAGACAGCCCTTTACACAGTTCCTAGGCACAGCTCCTCTACATAGCAGCACCTCTCTCACACAGCTCTCTCTCACACTCACTCACACCCGTACTTCTGCTAGATTATACACTCACTCTTTACTCACTCTTTCGCCCCCTCACTCCGTCACACTTTCCTCATGAGTCTTCTTCACTCTCACTCAGCACACACACACACACACACACACACACACACACACACACACACACACACACTTCACTCACATTCTGCAGCAGCTGTCACATAGCCCTACATGGCCATCTCTCGCCACACGGCCACTGCTGCCCCACAACCAAAATCTGGACAAGTATATGTTACATTTTCAGGGCCCCACCCATTCTCACAACACAGATAAGTCACATAGCTTCTCTTAGGATAGTGTTGTCACATTGACCCATGCACGCAGCTCTAACTTGGTGAGGGGTCTCAGACATTAAAACCTTGGCTGAAGCCTGTGTGGTCAGGGGACATGAACAGAGGGAGCCAATACAAGACTCTGTCTTGATGTAAACAGCCTGGCCTTCATGTAGCAAAAACAACACTGGGAATTAGTCTTTGTTTATTCTCTGTAGGAGCAGATTAATCTGTGTTGGACTTGTTCTA